ATCATATATCATAATAACATATTGATGATGTAGTATCAATATTATGATAACATCTTGATGATGTAGTATCAATATCATATTAACATCTTGATGATGTAGTATCAATATAATATTAACATATTGATGATGTAGTATCAATATCATATTAACATCTTTATGATGTAGTATCGATATCATTTTAACATCTTGATGATGTAGTATCAATATCATATTAACATCTATATGATATAGTATAAATATTATATTAACATCTTAATGATTTAGTATCAATATCATATTAACATCTTAATGATGTAGTATCATAATTATAGTAACATCTTGATAATTTGGCATCAATATCATATTGACATCTTGATGATGTAGCATCATTATCATATTGACATCTTGATGATGTAGTATCAATATAATATTTACATCTTGATGATGTAGAATAATATCATATCAACATATTGATGATGTAGAATCAATATCATATCAACATGTTAATAATGTAGTATCATTATCATATCAACATCTTGATGATGTTGTATCAATATCACAATAACAACTTGATGATGTAGTATCAATATCATATTAACATATTGATGATGTAGTATCAATATCATATTAACATCTTAATGATGTAGTATCAATATCATATTAACATTTTAATGATGCATCTTGATGATGTTGTATCAATATCATATTAACATCTTGATGATGTAGTATCAATATCATATTAACATATTGATGATGTAGTATCAATATCATATTAACATCTTAATGATGTAGTATCAATATCATATTAATATCTTAGTGATGTAGTATCATAATTATACTAACATCTTGATAATTTGGCATCAAATCATATTAACATCTTGATGATGTAGTATCAATATCATATTTACATCTTGATTATGTAGTAATGATATCATATCAACATATTGATGATGTAGAATCAGTATCATATTAACACCTTAATGATGTAGTATCATTATCATATCAACATCTTGATGATGTTGTATCAATATCATATTAACATCTTGATGATGTAGTATCAATATCATATTAACATATTGATGATGTAGTACCAATATCATATCAACATCTTGATGATGAAGTATCAATATCATATTAACATCTTGATGATGTAGTATCAATATCATATAAACATCTTGATGATGTAGTATCAATATCATATTAAAATCTTGATGATGTAGTATCAATATCATATTATATCTTCATGATTTAGAACCAATATCATATTAACATTTTTATGATGTAGTATCATTGTCATATTAACATCTTGATGATGTACTATCAATATCATATTAACATCTTGATGATGTAGTATCAATATCATATTAACATCTTGATGATGTAGTATCAATATCATATTAACATCTTGATGATGTAGTATCAATATCATATTAACATCTTGATGATGTAGTATCAACATCATATTAACATCTTGATGATGTAGTATCAACATCATATTAACATCTTGATGATGTAGTATCAATATCATATTAACATCTTGATGATGTAGTATCAATATAATATTAACATCTTGATGATGTAGTATCAATATCATATTAACATCTTGATGATGTAGTATCAATATCATATTAACATCTTGATGATGTAGTATCAATATCATATTAACATCTTGATGTTGTAGCATCAATATCATATAAAAATCTTGATGATGTAGTATCAATATCATTTTTACATCTTAATGATGTAGTATCAATATCATATTAACATCTTTATGATGTAGTCAAGTATCAGTATCATATTAACATCTTGATGATGTAGTATCAATATCATATTAACATCTTGATGATGCAGTATCAATATCATATTAACATCTTGATGATGTAGTATCAATATCATATTAACATCTTTATGATGTAGTCAAGTATCAGTATCATATTAACATCTTGATGATGTAGTATCAATATCATATTAACATCTTGATGATTTAGTATCAATATCATATAAACATCTTCATAATGTAGTATCAATATCATATTAACATCTTGATGATGTAGTATAAATATCATATTAACATCTTGATGATGTAGTATCAATATCATATTAACATCTTGATGATGTAGTATCAATATCATATTAACATCTTTATGATGTAGTCAAGTATCAGTATCATATTAACATCTTGATGATGTAGTATCAATATAATATTAACATCTTGATGATGTAGTATCAACATCATATTAACATCTTGATGATGCAGTATCAATATCATATTAACATCTTGATGTTGTAGCATCAATATCATATTAAAATCTTGATGATGTAGTATCAATATCATTATTACATCTTAATGATGTAGTATCAATATCATATTAACATCTTTATGATGTAGTCAAGTATCAGTATCATATTAACATCTTGATGATGTAGTATCAATATCATATTATCATCTTGATGATGTAGTATCAATATCATATTAACATCTTGATGATGTAGTATCAATATCATATTAACATCTTGATGATGTAGTATCAATATCATATTAACATCTTGATGATGTAGTATCAATATCATATTAACATCTTGATGATGTAGTATCAATATCATATTAACATCTTGATGATGTAGTATCAATATCATATTAACATCTTTATGATGTAGTATCAATATCATATTAACATCTTGATGATGTAGTATCAATATCATATTAACATCTTGATGATGTAGTATCAATATCATATTAACATCTTGATGATGTAGTATCAATATCATATTAACATCTTTATGATGTAGTATCAATATCATATTAACCTCTTGATGATGTAGAAACAATATCATATTATATCTTGATGATGTAGTATCAATATCATATTAACATCTTGATGATGTAGTATCAATATCATATTAACATCTTGATGATGTAGTATCAATATCGTATTAACGTCTTATTGATGTAGTATCAATATCATATTAACATCTTGATGATGTAGAAACAATATCGTATTATATCTTGATGATGTAGTATCAATATAATATTAACATCTTGCTTTGTCGCTACAGAAGATGGCTGATATGTTAAGATATTGGGATAGATTACAGTTATAGATGATATTCGATTGACAAAGACAATATTTCAAATAGAGTATAGACTGTGTCAACATAACCGGCGCAGTGATATAAAAATGTGTTGGACACGCTTGACCTCCGAAACAGTTACATGCATAAATCTATTGTTGATATACAAATTCATACAATTGGCAAGAAATTCAGTCGAAAAAATGACAATCGTCGCTGTTATCATATCCATAACTAAGAAAAGAAAGCCTGTTCAAACAGGAGTTAAAACCTAACAATAATTATCTTATCTTGAATTTATGGGGAAATGAACGATCAACATAAGCTCAACTGCATTGCGGTATACTTCCGTTACGAATTGATACTGGGAGGTACAAAGATGAACCCTTACATGATAGAATATGCACACAGTGTCATAGTAACGAAAATGAAAAAAAAAACGCACTTTTTACTCTAGTTTACATTATATCATAATCAGTGAACTATTTGGCAATTTATTTTCGGACTGTTGCTATTTAAACAAATCAAAAGAAAAAAATATGTATATTACTAAATGAAAATATTCGTAAAATGGCAAACTTTAATGCTAATGCATTTCAGACCAGACAAAATCAATGTATATTCATAAAGTTCAGACTTCTAATTCTTTGTTATTATAAGCATACAGTATATATTGTATACATTTAAATCTTTCATCATATGCTTCACATAATCAGTTGTCAATATATCTTAACATTTAATCACGTATGCCTAGTTAGTCTATTATTTAAGGTTTCTTAAGGGGTTTTTATTAAATGTTCATAGTGCATGTTAAAACACATGTCAATATAATAAAAATATTTATCTATTTGATTCTTTCGTAATAATTTGAAAGTGAATAGTTAAACCTACTTAAACCTTACTTCAAAACTGTTTAAATCACGTCAACCCAAGTCGTATTTATTTTATACACCTTCTTGAATAACAAAACAAACACTCCATTTTAAATCTTTTGAATGGGTACAAAGTTATAAAACAATTTTTCTTTTGTCTACATGTTTGTTGATGTTTTTGAAAGCTATTTATATCTTCTTATTTTTAGAAAGAATCGCTCCGATGATCCGACAGTATTGCAATATGCACATGAAACTGGACTTCCGTTTATTTATTTTTAGAGCTGCTTTAAGAGTTATTAATAGATCTGAGACCGAGGGTAGTTAAGTAAGTTATTAGTGGATTGATCTACAATGTGCACATGTTCCATTAATATCTTAATTATTGATAATAAAATAATAGAAATGTGTCATTTTGATATTTTTATAAAATATGACAGAGAAAACAAAACTGTTGACATGAGATTGAAGGTGATTTCTTATGAATATTTATATGAAAAATAATAGTTGTTCTCGAACAATTTGTCATCTGCTATATGAAGATATATAGACTGTATCGGATCATGTTCCTCATACATGTACTTACTGGTCAATAGCATCACTATATAATTCGTTTATGGTAAGTTTTTATATGTATGTAAGATGAATGTTAGATACTTTCAACATAATGACATGTATAGTAATGGTATAACACACATTCCACTGTGGTCCAGTTCAGTACTTAAATGTCGGTTAGAAAACCAATTTAAAATATATAATCAAAACAATTTAATAGATAAGATAAAACTTGTATTTTCATTATATCCTAAAATAACAATTACTGTTTATCTTGACACTGATAATTGCAATTCAGATATAACCAGGCATTTTGTTATTGTTGTTGTTGATGATTTGGCAATCTTGTTTACATTTTTGGTTGATATTTTGATTCTGTTATTGTAACCATTTGTATAGTTTGTGGGTTAGATGGAGTGGAATATTCAGGTCTGACATTTATTTATCGAAAAGATATTTATTTTTTTATTAAATTAATTCCAGATGATTAAAAATCTTCTGATCTATGTTCGAAGACATTTCTATGGGTAAATTTTCGCTTTCTAAAAATATACTTATCGTATAAGTGTAACGTGAAAAATTAAGCCAGCCTTATAACTTTTTTACTATCCCTCGTAACATGTAGAATAATAGCGTTGTAAAATTAATGCTTACTAACAATTTATACATACAACGTGGAAAATATGTTTGTAATAATTCTCTATAAAGGGGCATTCAGGTATAAATCAGCAAAAGATGGAATTAACAGAATGTAAACGAAAGGTATCGATTAACAAATAATACTTATTGTTGTTGTTTTTTTGTTGTTTTTTTTGCGTATAGACAAAGCCTTACTTTCGATTTCACTAAATTGAATATAGCTAATATTTGAAGTATGAATATTAAATTGTCAGTATGAATAGTAAATATTGAATTGTCAACATATAATATTATATTATTATATGTACAAATGTTACACACCGAACTTGAATGTAAATGGACTGTTTGATATTTATACTGTTACCATTTCTTAATTCAGTTTTTGTTTTCGTTTTAGGATCGGTCCCTTGGTCAACATAATTGTTTATGCATATATTTAGTCTCGGTTTATTTTTTACTATCAGCTGTTTTGTGTAACGTTAGTGGTTCTGAAGTGACATCTATTCCTAATTTAACTATTGATAAAGGTAAGATGTTGTCGTTTTTGTCTTTTTTTTAATGGATACGAAAAAACAAACTGTTTCTGTCGAAAAGTGTTGCAATATACCATATTTTCAGTATCTTTTAATACTTTTCAAAGCGTAATTCATTACAATTTATTCAATTAACATTACTATTTAATGATAAATACATTTATGGACTTGGACTATAATGACATCAATATATATGACAATGTATGACAATATCTTAATGATCATTTATGTTACAGTATAACATTGATATAATAATTCATGATATTCATTTATATATATATATTTATTTATGGCACTGTATTTTATACTATAGTCATCCTTTCTGGCACTGTATTACATTGACATGATAATTCATTGCACTGAATTATATTATAGTATTGATTCATTTATGGCACTGTGTGATACTATGATTATTATGTATGGGACTGTATCTTGTAGTCTAATTATCCTTTATAATGGCATTTTGTTTTGTATTATACCATAACCATTATTTATGGTACTGTGTTTTATTGAAATCATCATTTATGACAGGTTTGTATTGAGATAATCATTTATGGCATTGTGTTTTATTATAATTAATCATTTATGGCGCTGTGTTTTATCAAAATCATCATTTATGACAGGTTTGTATTATGATCATCATTTATGGTACTGTAATTTATTAAGATCATCAAAAATGACACTGTCATTTATTGAGATCATCATTAATGGCACTGTGTTTGATTGAGATCATCATTTATGGCACTGTGTTTTATTTTGATTATCATTTATGGCACTGTTATAAATTGATATCATCATTTATGGCACTGTCATTTATTGATATCATCATTCATGGCACCGTGTTTGATTGAAATCATCATTTATGGCACTGTTATTAATTGATATCATCATTTATGGCACTGTCATCTATTGATATCATCATTTATGGCACTGTGTTTTATTGATATCATCATTTATGGCACTGTGTTTTATTGACATCATCATGTATCATATTATAACCATACTTTATGGCACTGTTTGATATAATAATCATCATTAATCGTCATTGATATTACATTGTTTTATTTTGTATTATTATAGTCATCATTTTTAGCAATATGTCATAATATTATCATCTTTTATGGCACTGGACTTTGTGATTATCATTATTTATGGCAATGCATTATGATATTAAAATCATCATTTTATTACACTGTATTGTATTGTATCATAATAATCTTCATTTATGACACCATGTCATGGAAAATAATAATAACTGACACTGTATTATGTTAATTTACTGTATTATATTAATTTACATCATTATTTATGGCACTATTTTTATACTTATGATCATGAATGAAACCTTATTATATTGATATAATCATTTATGGCATTGTAATGAGTTAACGTTAACATATGTGGCATTATATATGTTAAATGTATGGGACTAGTTTCCATTTACATAATCATTCATTATATTGCATTATATTTATACATTATCATTAATATTTATTTTGTCATTCATATTGCAGGGTTGTATTTACATTGTCATTGATATGTCAGTGTAAATCAGTATACATGTATTATTATAGTAGTAAATCGTTTTTATTAAATATTCACGAATTTGTTTCATTTATACAACAAGACCTTGATATACTTTATAAATAAGTTTTAAAATCATACATATATTTTCATTACTTTTCCTTTGCATTTTTCCTTTGCTTATCCGGGTAATTTCTTAAGAAAAACTGTTCATATCACATAAAAAGACACACAATGTTTTAAATTATATCTTGACCTGAATTCGAACACCAGACTTTTCACTTCTTTCTGCACTAGAGGCTTCCAATGTAATTAATAGGAATAAAATCATAACCAAGTCAAATTATTCTACACATGCCAGCCCATGATAATTTTCTTATATTTATAGGGGAGAAATTTGAAATTTCAATAACGCCATCGTGGTTTTGTAATGTCAACTTTACACCATGATCGTACATTCGGCTTTTCACCATTGCAATTTCGCGTTTTCGTTGTTTCGTGTTATGTCTATGTGTCGCGATGGCCCTAACGGGACACGGTAAAAAATGTTTACTGTAAATATTTGCGGGGAAAAAACTAATGTAATAAAACAACGTTATTTATAATCGTTTTGAATTTGATATCACTGATATCAGTGTTTGAGTATTATTTAAGCGTATACATGCGTCGTATTTTCACAATTAATGCTTGCAGAAAAACGAGTTATCTCCATGTGAAAACAATCCATCGCATTCTTTATAGGCAGCTAGGGGGCGTGGACGGTAGCTTGCAATTACCACTACCGTCCATGAACCGAAATTGTCAATTTTGCCGTGTTGAACTGTCTTCAGGGATTTTCTCTATTTTTCTCGTGACACATTCAATTTTCTTAAAAGCGTGTTGTTACAAAACATGAAGCTTATATTTCTGTCGAATTAGATCAACTTCAAACTCCACTGCCGATGGAAGAGGTCAGTAATTCTTTAAACCTCGCAATGTCTCGGAAGTTCATAAATAATATAAAAGAAAACGCATGTATTTATTACATATATTTTATTTCAATTATGAAAACGCCAGATAGTTGTCAATGTAAACGTGTATAAATATATAATGTATTCAAACGTTATGAAATGTGCCCGATAATCTATAAAAGTATTTGTAAATGTATCCAAGTGTATAATAAAAGTGAGGTGTTGTTTATTTTTAGAATAAAACTCTTCCGCTTTCGGGTAATAAAATATATTTATTATTCAAATCACCTTGCCATGAATTTATAGATATGAACCTCTGAAATAATTAAACATGTAATGAATCCATTATAACAGAAATTGATTGTAGTTATGTGGTAATATAATAGCATCTCCCTTTACATAGGTTTTCAGGACTTCAATGTTAAGAAGTGGTTCAATCCTTTCAAAGCTCAGCTATATTAATATCAAATTTCTAGTCCGTTATCGCCCACACGATCCCCGCATTCTCCCGAAATATACCTGTATGTTAACATTTACAAAACTCCTACGCAGTTGTCCCCCTTTGCTTCGCTTACCATTGATGTTATGCATGATAAATTGCCAAGGCTCAGAACCAGATTTTAAGTATGAAGTGTATAACATTTGAATACATTAGAAATATCTACCTTTAATAGTTAAAACGTTCATATTTTAATACGATGAAAACATTCATCAAGGTTGTATTTTTGTAGCTAATCGTTAAAATGTATATTGTTTTGTCACACATTTTACATACAAGCAAACAATTTAGGTCTTACTCGGCAAGTTGTAAAGGTCATAAACTTGGCACGTATATACGTTTATGGGGAATTCCAGATTTTATTGTTATATTTAGATACACGACAGACACATTGATTATCGGTAATGTATTGCACGTTTAATATATACCCAGTGATATACATATTTAATATGTCTACTATCAAGACTAGTAAAGAAGAATGTAAATGTATATACCGTATATACCGCAACCACGGACAGGACAAATGGGTACTTTAGAAATGTTTTAGAGTCATTTTATTTTTGTGGATGGAATAAGGGTCCGGAAGCACAAAGGGACCATGCGAGATAGAACTATTTTCCCAAAGCCTATGCTGTAACAAATACACATAAAACAAGAAACTAACAAAAAAACTTTAAATTGAACACGAAAATAGGTTGCTCTCGGCTACTTGTGAAGTCAACTAAAAAAAAGACATTCCGAAATGAAAATAATTTTTCATATTTTGCAATTGACCATTCAAGACAGTAATCTTTCATTGAAATTATGATCTGCACGTTTGAAATACATGTGTGTCTTGGAAACAACATTATAAAGGCTCTATGAGAAATGGGGCCGTATTGAAATGATAGTTTTGTAGTATTTTTGTATTTTCTTATCGCAAGATCAGTAAATACATAACTAACATCCACTGTCTAACACAAATTTTCCTAACAGACCTAACAACGCAAAGTAGTTCTCACTCAGAACTGCTTAAAAACCAGCAATTTAAGATAAAGAATAATTTTCAATGTATGCATTTAACGAATTACAGTGCATTAAAAGTTTAGAGTAGTCAATAGAAATAAGAGGTTACAATCACAAATTTCGCGGATGAATATCTTTTTTACCCAATGAAAAATGTTCGGCTATTTCCGTAAAGCTTAATCAATGAAAATACTATTTTTAGCTATGTCGATTACTGAATACTCCAGAGCGTAGTACACATAATTCTGACTTTCGAGTAGTGGAATATATACATGTCGTACTGTTTTGGCGAGAAGATTTTCGCTAAAATATTTTCATCAGTGTTAAACAACAGGTTTATAGTGAAGAAAATACCTCGAAATTAGTAAGGATTACAAACACGGAATGGAAATTCTCAATTTAGAATTACAATGTTTTTGTTATTATTCAAGCGACAAAGGTATTACTTCACCGTGGTGCAGAGGTAGCGCGCTCGTTTAGGGTGTGAAAGGCCCAAGGTTCAAGTCCTAGTCGAGGCAACTTTTTTTTTGAAGTGTCTCTTTTAAGGAAGTAGCCACGATATACAAGGATAAAGTATGGCTGTCATAAAAAATGAAAATGATTTTTTTGGTGCAACTCTAGTCATGCAAAATTCCATATGTATCAATCTCAAACTGTTATAGACGCAGTCGCTGCGTAAGATTAATTATAGTATATAAAAATAAACTTATATAGGAAAATACATACAGATAGTCAGTATGATTTAGATTGCAAAGATCAGAAAATACCACAGAGGTTGCAGCCCTTTGATTTGTTTTATCGTTTGTATTATCTTGAGTCAGCTTTCAATTGATTGATTGATTGATTGATTGATTAATTGTTTCGTTATTTCGCTCGTCGTTCATTCATTAGTTTACTTGATTCGTTCTTTCACTCGCTCGCTCGTTCGTTCGATCACTCATTATATTATGTTGTCGTAATGTTCGTTCATTCATTCATTCATTCATTCATTTGTTCAAAAAAAATTCTCCGTGAAAATTCAACTCGGACATTGGGACTTATGGTCATTTTACCTATCTTTGCTGATTTAGAAAAAGTGTTAGTTTAAAAGTCTTTCTTGTAGAGAAATATATAGTATGAAAAATGTGTTAAATCGGCAAAAGAAAAAGAAACAAAAACAAATGAACAAACAAACTTTTTTTCAGTCTCTCACTGGCATAGACATACAGGAATGATTCCGATTGCTTTAGTACTTCGTAAACATCCATATCAACCTGACTTAAATTCTAATCTACAGTAACGTATTTCTTACATGAGCCTGGGATTCAGACGTTGATCAATACATTTTGCTTATTCATAACATATGCGCTATTTCGTACTCAGTCATGTTTCCAGTATTGATTATATAAAATATCGGCAGACTCGAACCCAGGCTTACATGTATAACAAATCGACAGTCTGGAACCCAGGCTTATATGTATTGGTGTATTTAGGAGCTGATTTTAATCAGATTGCACCCATATGTGAGCCGAGTCACGAAAAAACTAACATAATGGGTTTGCGACCAGCACGGATCCATGCTGTCCGCTATCAGTTTCTCTACTTGTAATAGAGTTGGTAAGCGAACAGCATGGATCCTGTTCAGACGGCGCGGATGCTGGTCGCAAACGCATTACGTTGGTTTTGTCACGACGCGGCTCATTTGTCAAACATACACACATTTGCAAGTATATATCTCGGTCTTATCAATAATTATGCTGACTGCATAATCGTACTTTAAATAATATTTTCACTTGGTACAACAGGTGTTAATGATATTATCAACTTTATCATTCAATTTGATAAATCTATCTTTATTTGGTTATGTTATTTATAATAGTGACGACATTTCGATGTTTATCATGTCATTGTATCGATTACTTCTGATAAACTTTCTGATAAACTTATTTTTTTAGTCATGCAAAGTTAAACACCTCACGATTATACATTATGACATTTATGACGTGTATTTTAATAATCTATACATACATGTATGTAAACAGGCTCGACGTAAATGTATATCAATTAATGCTGACATAAATTTTATTGTTTTTGTTGTTGTTGTGTCTGGAAAAAAAACATAGATCATATAAATGTATAAGTATAGGAAAAGAGTATAGAAAAGATTCAACATTACTACAGGTCATACACATTGACTTTTTAAACCGAGATTTATTGAGGATATTTAATGAGAGTAGTTTCAATACTGAATTTATTGAATGATTTGACTAGAATAATATAATTCGGGCCTCTGGCGAGGACATTATTACTTTATATAAATTTTATGTATGACCGGGTGCCGCTTTTGCAACTCCGTTAAACAATAAATATATTTTGACGTGACGTCATTTGCGTTCTACAAAAATAGCGTAAAGACAAGCTAAATGTAAGCGCGTCAATAATGAAAAAGGATTGTTTTCACTGTAAACAGTTCTTATGTTGGTTATGTGATAAATATAATATTATATTGGTGTAGATTCAATGAACTCGTTGAATAAAATAGTATTATGCTCAGCGAGAATATTATTTTATTCAACAAGTTTAAGAAAAATCAGTATTGAATACACATTTATTTAATCTCCACTATTTATACAACTAGCTCAATAAATTTAGAATGAAGCTACACGAATATTATATTCAGTTTATCACATATCAAAAATAAGAATTGTTTAAGGTAAACAAAGGGTCGCTTTTTCATTAACGCGCTTATAGTGTGACGCTATTACATGTATATAGTTCGTCTATGCGCTGTTTGTATAACGCAAATGACGTCACGTCAAAACATATGCACGGCCGTGAAAAAGCAAAAGCAGCATGTGTATATGATAAATAAGCTTAGTTGCCATATAAAGACTCCTTTTTACACATATTAATGACTAAATGAAAATGTATTTTTTATCATTTAGATGTGGTTACTTGCTCGTCAAACCCGTGCAAAAACGGGGGCTCCTGTGTTCAAGACAGCAATAATGTCACGTGTAAGTGCGGAGAGGGGTTCACCGGGGATTTGTGTCAAATAGGTATAAGTTTATGTTTCTATTATTATTATTCATAGCGATCTATTCCACAAAGTTTATCAAGATTTAACGTTTCGAGGTGTGTGTGTGGGGGGGGGGGGTAACCCCCTCTTTGTTAATTTTCTAAATCACATTTACTTTTTCCTTGCTAAACATTTTACCGAAGAGGTTTATTAATCAAGTCTGTTTTTCAGTTGATTAGTTCAAATATTTCACATTATCTCCCTTTAGATACTTGTGAGTTTCTGATAATGAAAAACATGAACCAGTTACCTCACTCGTGATATTTTGTTTGTTATCTCCCTTTTAATTTTAAAGAATATGGATCGAATATAATATTTTATCGGTATTATTTGCCTTTATTTATCGGATGTCATTGTCAGTGATCCCCTTTTCAGATATTGACGAATGCCAATCGAACCCCTGTCCTAAGAAAGCAAGGTGTGTCGATGGTAGCAACTCCTACACGTGTGTCTGTAAAAAAGGATACAACGGTGATAAATGTCAAAATGGTAATAAAGCCCGCATATATCCGAAACTAAGTCATACTATTGTAACACCCTTAGCATTGTGGCGGCCTCATATTTTGCCATGCGACAAGTGCAAAACAATATAAGCTTTGTCACGACAAAACGAACATAGTGGCTTTGCGACCAGCATGAATCCAGACCAGCCTGCGCATCCGCGCAGTCTGATCAGGATCCATGCTGTTCGCTATCAGTTTCACTACTTGTTATAGACTTTGTAAGCGAACAACATGGATCCTGATTACACTGCACGGATGCGCATGCTGGTCTGGATCTATGCTGGTCGCAAACCCATTATGTTGGTTTTGTCGTGAAACGGCTCATATAAGCTGACACCGGCACCGGCATGTACACGCCCATTCTTCCTGGTCTGTTCTTTTTTCATCAGTTCCTGTTTTGACATTTTTCTTAAAATAATGAATGATTTGGTTTAGATCGGAATATAAACTTTTCTATTTCGTTTTCATCTCTATTTGTTTACCGTGCACAAAAAGTCATGTACTGTAACGCTGGACAGTTTCCAAACGAATTTACCTCATGTTAATCAAGTACTTGGCTGGGTTTCCGCGAAATGAATCATCTTTCCCTTAATGTATATCATGTAAGAAAAAATAGAGGAAAAAGATCTAGGATGATAAAAGTAGATTATAACCATTTACATTAAGGCGTTGTGACTGGGGATTTGGTTTCTTAAATCAAGTAAAAGGTGGTTGTTCTACTACGGTGCCATCTTGTGCCATCTTGTGCCTGCAGTGATAACAGAACGGTACCTGAGCGTTTCCTCTAAAAGTAACGTCATCATATAATCTTTACTTAAAAAAGCTAGAAATTTTGTTTCTATCCTATCATCACGTTCAGACTTGCAAAACATAGAATTGAAGACATTGTTCAGCATCTTCTGAGATGTTGTCAAGTTTTAAGGCTTACTTTCTTGCAGAAATCGACGAATGTGCCTCAAATCCGTGTAAGAATAAGGGAAAATGTGTAGACGGTATCAATACGTACTGGTGTGCATGTAAAGAAGGATTTACTGGAGAGAGATGTGAAGGTTTGTGATGTTAGATATATATATTTATACTTGTTAGTTATAAATACTTATGGATGTGAATTATGGGGATTCTACGGAAGCGTCCTGGTGCCAATTTAACATGTTCTATAAAAAGATAACTCCTACGTAGGACTTTGTAGCTCCTAAGTAGGACTTTATAACTCCTACGTAAGAGATAAAAAAACCTAGTTAGGAGTTTATAACTCCTACGTAGGACTTTTAAAGGCCTACGTAGGACTTTATTAGTCCTACGTAGGACTTGATAACTCCTACCTAGGAGATAAAAAACCTAATTAGGAGTTTTAAAGTCCTACGTAGGACTTACAAACTCCTACGTAGGACTTTATAACTCCTACGTAGGAGTTGAAAAAAGCCTAATTAGGAGTTTATAACTCCTACGTAGGACTTTATAACTCCTACGTAGGACTTTATAAGTCCTACGTAGGACTTTATAACTCCTACGTAGGACTTTATAAGTGTTCTTCTACGTAGGAGTTACAAAGTCCTACGTAGGAGTTATCTTTTTTATAGAATATGTTAAATTGGCACTAGGACGCTTCCTTAGGATTCAGAGAAAAGAGTTTCAAGATTTATCTGCTCGTTACGATGGTGATTTTTTTCAGTTTCCAAGGAAAAGTCTTGATGATATGAATTATGATATAAAATCAATAAACCCTCTTTTTTGTTAAAGAAATAGACGAGTGTGCATCAGAACCATGTGAAAATGGCGGCGTTTGTTTTGATGGTAAAAATAGGTATAGATGCGAATGTCCTAAAGGTTTTACTGGAAAGCGATGTGAAACAGGTTTGTTTTATATTTTATCAGTCTTCTGACAGTAATTTTATTGACTTTGTTAAAATCACTGACTTAACAAACTTCATGTGGCCATACACAAAGGCATGGCATTTTTTTCATAAAGTGAAGATACTATAAGGCAAATAGTTTGAAGGTTACTTAATAAAATGAAATCATTCTGCTTCCGCATTACTACGAATAACAATTTGTTACGTACAAGACCAAAAGTCCGAAAGTAACCGAATAATATTTTTTTCCTTTATCAAATTCAAGCTATCTTTAAGCGAAATTTTATCATTTAATTACATTCATAAGAAAATATCTAACAATAAAGATATTTATAAATTTACATATCTATTCTATATTACATTATATCAAAATTTTAATACAAAATATGAGGGGGGGGGCAAGATTTATTCAAATAACTTTTGCCAAGCCCATACTAGGAGCAACCAGTACCAATAGAATTATATCTACGCATCATTTACTCAGGCGAACAATATTTGGCCATCATGCCTCTCTTGTAATATGTCTTTATGCTATACGCTTTTTCGAAGAACAATCTGAAATTTTTCAGTTTGTAGTGTGATATTAACAAGGTGTATTTAGAAATTCATGTTCATTAACATTCTCTACTGAGATACTTTATATTATATTTACATATATTTATTTGTGTATTGTAGATATAGATGAGTGTGCTTCAAACCCTTGTCAGAATGGAGGGACATGTCATCAAGATGTCGGTAAATACAGGTGTGAGTGTAAAGATGGTTACACAGGAAGTAAATGTCAAAGAGGTAATAATTGAAAACTTAAAATTATGGTCTCACACCTAGTTGGCTGTATGAATTTAGGTACGGTAAATGGTCGTGTAGAGATCCACATCTAGTTGGTTGTATGAATCTAATTACCGTCCATGGCCGTGTGGAGATTCACACCCAGTTGGTTGTATGAGTCTTAGTTCCGTACATTGTCGTGTAGAGACTCACACCTAGTTGGTTGTATGAATCTAAATTCCGTCTATTGTCGTGTAAAGATTCACACCTAGTTGGTTGTATGAATTTAAATTCCGTCCATTGTCGCGTAGAGTTTCACACCTAGTTGGTTGTATGAATCTTAATTCCGTCTATTATCGTGTAAAGATTCACACCTAGTTGGTTGTATGAATTTAAATTCCGTCCATTGTCGCGTAGAGATACACTCCTAGTTGGTTGTATGAATCTAAGTACCGTCCATGGACATGTAGAGTTTCACACCTTACTGGGTGTATGAATCTAAGTTTCGCCCATGGTCGTGTGGAAATCCACATCTAGTTGGTTATATAAATATAAGTTCCGTCCATGGTCGTGTACAGATAGACATCTAGTTGGTTTTATGAATTTATGTATCGTCCATAGTCGTGTAGAGATTCACACCAAGTTGATTATATGAATCTAAGTTCCGTCCATGGTCGTGTAGAGATCCACATCTAGTTGGTTTTATGAATCTAAGTACCGTCCATGGTCGTGTATAGATTCACACCTAGTTGGTTATATATGAATCTTAGAACCGTCCATGGTCGTGTAGATATCGACACCTGATCGGTTATATGAATTAACTATCGTTCATGGTCTTGTAGAGATTCACGATTAACACCTAGGTTATTGTATGAATCTAAGTTACATCTATGGACGAGTTTCTGGATATAAGCCAGACCTAATTATACTAATAAAAAAGCCTTACCTCAAGTTCGGACCGTTTAAGCGCCATATTTTGCTAGAAACTTTAACGTCACGTTGCAATAGCCTGACTTTGGGAGATAAAATAAACTGAATGTTTCAACAAATAGATATAATGTTTTATAAATCATCGGATACCCACGGTTGATTAACATGAAATGTTAATGGTTCGACCGAGGATATTCGACGATGTGTTTATATATGTTTATTTACAATATATTAACATTTATCGTTTTTGACAGTAGTTAAACAGGGAAATAATTGTATATGACGTTGTCAAGACACATTTTGATATACGAGCGTATGTTTGACTTATCATTCGAAGCTATGCCTTTAATTACTGGGTATTTTATCTAGGTGGGAATAAATGTTCATCGAACCCCTGTAAAAATGGCGGAAGATGCATTGATGGTATCAACGGTTTCACATGCAAATGCACGGAAAAATTTACAGGTGATCAATGCCAAAATGAAAAAGGTATATATACGAGTATTTATGACATGACTAGGTGCCACTGCCCTGTCTCTCATAAGTATTCAAAATATTTTTTTGCTCAGTACGTCTGTGGTGGTTCTGTTTATTCGTCATCAGTTTTCACTTATTATGTGTGAATGCTTCAATTCAAAGTGTTTATTTTTTATTACCTTTATAACATGCTACTTGAGTATGTTTGGCAGCCGTATGTAATACGCAAACATGATTTGTATCTTTTCAATGTTTATGTTTTTTTATTAGACTGGAAGTCAGCTTCCATGAAATAGCATGAGGTTGTCTCATTAAAGGTTCTAGTGTACTATATTTTGAAAAAAATGAAGAGAAAATTAATTTAGTACTTTTAAACAATTTTGAATCACAGTCATTTCTGTTTGGCTTTTTTTTTTACAGAATTACCTGTCACAGATGTTGGCGAATGCTCTTCACACCCGTGCAAGAACGGAGGGTCGTGTGTTCAAGGTAAAAGCAAATTTATGTGTAACTGTGAGGAGGGTTTCACTGGAAATTTGTGTGAGACAGGTAAGCAAAACATAGTCTACAATATTAATTAAATGATTACATTTCTTATATTTTACAGTTATTGCATAAGGTATAAAGAATTGCAAAAAATAGATGTAATGCTAATTTGTTTAAAGTGTTGGTATTTTATTCTTCACCATACAAATAGTAAGCAGAATGCGCATGCGTGAAATGCAACATCCGTTACCATGGAAAAATCGTATTACATGTATAAAAAGGTTTAAATCCTAAATGTCTGTGATTGACATACTCTTCTAAGCATGCGCAAACTGTTTAAACATCGTTGTAAATATAGTTCAATGACATATATAAATGTAATCTAACAACTAAGCTTATATAAAGTAGATAGCGCAAAAAATGATTCACGTTATGAAGGATGTCTCAGTTGTCCTGTTATCTCATTTTACATATTGATAAACATGAATCTGATATTTGTGTACATTATCTTTTTTTAGATGTAAACGAATTTAATCGATTCTTTTATTTAACCACCTCCCCTTAGATATTTTGCAAATATTAATCGACTAGTTCTAATAAGCTAATACCTCTCTATTGATGTATAAAAGATTGTTAAACGCAGTGATCTATCCTTACAATATGTCAAGGGAAGTAATCACTGTGAGGAGTTTAATTAAATGGATTGACTTTCTCCCTTTAGATATCGACGATTGGAGGTCATATAATTTTAATGTTTTTGTTTATAATTATCTCCCATTAGATATTGACGAGTGTAAATCGAACCCGTGTCCTAAAAGAGCAAGGTGTATTGATGGAAGTAATAAATATTCGTGTGTCTGTAAACGAGGATACTACGGTGACAACTGCGAATATGGTAAAAAATCCTTTCGGGGGTATTTGTGTATATTCTTGTTGAGTATTTTTCTTTAAATAAAAGATAAATAAAAGATACTTTTGCGAGAGGTATCGCATATAAATATATCATAATTCGACCGTCTACATGAAAACTGATAAAAATCTGTTAAATAGGTCTAATAGTTTGCTTCATAGATATTAAGAAATCAGCCGTTTTTGTTAATCTTATATATATATTTATCAATAATATATAAAGAATATAGACCACCAAAATGGCTGCCACTTTTGGCAAGGGAGATAAATATTGTATGAATCTGGAACTATCTAGAGCCAGATCTAGACTACACGGATGCTTACTTCCGGTTCCGGCGGGTTAAAGGTTAAATATCTTCTCCTTGTTTTCAAATAAATGCCATTATGCTGTTTGTTTTTCAAGAAACGGATGAATGTGCTTCGAACCCGTGTAAGAATAAAGGAAAATGTGTAGACGGCATCAATACGTATTGGTGCGCATGCAAAGAAGGCTATACAGGTCAGAGATGCGAAGGTATGTGACATGTATTTGATAATAAAGGTACACAATGCCTCATGAATTATTTTTACTCCTTTTTTATACATGGCTTTATTACCGATAAAATAATAAATAATTTAAGAGCATGTTTACATGAAAGGGGCCGGGCATAAAATACCCTCATGCATACTCTCAAATTACAGTAAATACTAAGGTAATAAAAACAACATGAAAACAGTGTGCATAATTTAGGCAATCTTAGCACAAATGTATCAAGTAAGTTACAAGCTGTTACAAAACTGTTCACTTTGCAGGTGGTTTCATAATTTATTTTGAATCTTAAGCCTCTGTAAGGTGATTTTAACTTTAAGGAATATGGCATGTGAAATTAACCTTTGTTTTTTCTTCTTTCACTTCCATAACTTCTAAAGATACTCTGTGTCGAAACAGATTTGAGCTTCAGTAACGATTTTTGATCTGTACCGGTTTTTACCTGTAACGATTTCTGACCTTTACCATTTGTTGACGTTTACTGATATGTGAATTTTGACATTGACATTATTGTACATGTGACCTCGGCGAATTTAAATTTAATATTGCTTGAAAATATCGTAAAAATAATATTAAAATAATGTACTAATAACCAATGTTTGATATCTTTTTTAACTTTTTTTTAAGAAATCGACGAATGTGTATCCGATCCATGTCAAAACGGTGGCATTTGTAAAGACGGTAAAAACAGGTTTACTTGTGTATGTCCGAAAGGTTTTACTGGAAAGCGTTGTGAAACAGGTTTGTTCGCCATAAATTTTAATAGACTGTATGGTAAAAATATAAGTGGTTAACAATTCAGAGAAATATTAAGATTTTTATTACAAGTATATTCTAGTAGTTAAATTAAGATTTTAGATTCAAGTGGGATCCGCCAAAGCTAAAACGTTAAACAACTTTTAGATTTACTTTTCCATGTTTGCTCAATTCATGATTGACCATTGATTGAATATCGAAAGAAGACGGACCGTTTATAGCATTGTTCAAGTAAGTTTGCTTTTTCCAATGTTTTGCAGCAGCTTTACAGGTACTCCACTGAGGTTTTTTGATATAACGGGACTGGAAATAATTTTTTGAGATTATTACTCCATTTGATGTAGATCTATACTAGTAACGTATGTGCAAAATTCCCAGAATAATTATTATAAGAGTGAAAAATGACCTAAAATTGAAAAGCGTTTAAACGCTTTTAACTCAAACTGGACTGAGAATAGCACAAACATATGATTTTCAATGTTTTTCTTGTATATTTCTTGGTTATATTTTATTTATATTTCTGTTTTTAGTGCCCATGTTAATCTATGTGAAAATTTGATTTTTTTTCATGTTTTTAGGCTTATAAACCTCAGTAGAGTCCTTTCAACAATTAAGACTAGAAATAATGTCATTTCAACAAGAGAAAAGAAAACTTACATGAACCATGCTCATCCATAATGGTCTTCTTGTTTAATATATTCTGCATTTCACTCTCTAAATATCTAAAATTCTCGAAAACTTTCACTTCTCAATAGTGTATAAACCATATTTACTCATACATATTTCATGTATGATGTCTTCAAAGTTTTATCAAGACTTCGTAGTCTGTCTATTTTAGACATAGATGAATGCGCTTCAAATCCTTGCCAGCATGGGGGTTCATGCTATGAAGATGTCGGTAATTACAGATGTATATGTGAGAATGGTTACGGAGGGAAAAGGTGTCACATAGGTAAAAGTATAGTATTTTATACGCTCGGAACTCCTTGACTATTTTTCATAGTAATCTTGGAGTTAATACGGATTGAAATATGCAAACCGAGCCGTGTCACGACAAAACCAACATAGTGCGTTTACGACCAGCATGGATTCATACCAGCCTGCGCATCCGCGCAGTCTGATCATGATCCATGCTTTTTCGCTATCAATTTCTCTTCTTGTTATAGGGTATGTATAAGCGAACAGCATGGATCCTGATCAGACTGCGCGGATTCGCAGGCTGGCCTGGATCCATGCTGGTCGCAAACCCATTATATTGGTTTTGTCATGACGCGGCTCAAACTAAAAACAGGTGTAATCTGTGTATGTATTTAATGGCATATAACGGGAAATAAAGAATAGTTGGGTAAAATTATGAATGAAAAATATGTCCGAGAATCAGTGACAATTAAAGAATGTAAATTGATGTACACTTATATGAAACAAATCGAAAATACCGTTGACTGGTAAATGTTTCTACAGACATTAATTAATAGTACAAAATAATATTAAAACAAATTAATAGTATATACATAATGGGCTATTTTTTCTTATTTACTTAATTAAGGTTATCTGTTACACGATATAATTGAATAAACTCAAGTCATCAACTCCGAGCGTTTAAACTACATGTACTATTTGTTTCCGAAATTGGAAGGAAAGTGCCGAGAAAATGCGAAAGATTGTTATATATTGCGTATATTTTATTATGTACGAGTAAGTCAAGAGTTTGGCCAATTTTCAGCTCGTCATCAAAAGTTGTAGGCGGGAACTTTGATCTGATTAATCATACAAATACATGTCATTTGCGAATGAATTGGTTCAATTAAACTTCTAGCGAAAGCTACCAATGACCATTACGCAATTTCCTAGTTGAAAACAGAAAATTGTTCGTAAATTGTATCATTCGCGTACTGATCGTAGTTCTTTAATAGAATTAAAAATTATGCGGTCATTAGTCAGTCGAGATTTTAAAGATCATCCAGCGGAAAATATATTTATACATGTATTTATATCGTTCCTTCAATCTCTAAACTATGTAAAATCAATTGGGGATCGGAGCAGTCAAAATGATTTCTTAGACTATCGAAACATGTATGTTACCTAAGTCAATATTGTATTAAAGTTAAACAAAATTTCAGGTTTACTTGCATGTTAATTTTATGTTTTTGCTTTAAATTCATATTTTCAGAGTTGCCGAGACCTAAAGGCCAATCTAATTTTGAAACATGGGCCGTCGTAAGTACTTATGCAAAAATATGTTTATATTTTATCTGACTTTAAATGGGGTTGGTGGGTGGTTGTGTGGGTGTGGGGTTGGGTTGAGCTACATAATAATGTATCTCAGAATCGAGTATTTAAAAAAGCAAACAAACGTGAATTAACGTACATCTATGCGTGCACTCAAACTTAATTTGTGGCAGCAAATAGAAATCATTCACAGGGTTACTTTCCATTTTTTAATCATTTGTGGGAAAATACAATCCTAGAACCCAGACTTTCCTTGTTATTTTGAAATTTTGTATCGGATTTTCATAATGTCTCCGTGTAATCTGATCTACTTAAAGTAGATGTGTGTGTGTGTTACCTCGGCGCCGAAAATTCCATATGTCCGAGATCTCAGCGTCCATGCCGGCCCACTCTAGAAGTCTCATCGGGGACGTCTTTGTCAAGCCTCTTTTCCTTATCCCTTTCTTCGTTCGTTGGAGGAAAACACAACACTGGCAAAGCATCATGTTCCGTGACGGCAACAAACAGGCGGATAACAAAAAACGGCTCTTGTTACCGCCACACTCCCGAGTTAGTCACGACAGGTCAACCAATCGTCTCTGGTACTTAAGACGTCTTGACCTTGACCTGCCGTGTGCGTTCTCCGCGACGTACACTCCTCGGGAGGGATTTGGAGAAGCTTATGGTAGATGTGATTGTCATCGTATTTGTATCGCCTGCATTGTACATCGGCTTTCCCGAGAAACGTATGTATCGTTATGAAATTAAACCGTCCTCTACAGATAGGTATTGGACGAAGAAGCAAAATATCGCTGTCCGTGGAATTAAAATAAATTGTTGTTTTTTGTTGGAGAAAATTGCTTGAAAATATTTGAAACAAATGAATCGAAAAAAAAACTCAATTTTTAATGGACTAAATCGTTTTATTCAGCTAAAATTACCTGCTATATGGACAGTGCCATGTTTATTATTGAAATCGAGAAAACTACCATCGCAGTATTGGTTTCCAGCGGTTGAAATGCTTTCAAAATTGTCAAAGCTCGCCGATGATTGGCTGTTTGAAAGGTCAATAGAAGATGACCTCCTATTGGTGACCGTCAGATCCTTATATTTTAGCGTTGATTAATCAAATTGGTCTTCTTGAAGACGTTCTTTCCGATGCGAGTTCTTGTGCTGTAAACATATGCAATGCATACAAAGGAAATGTAACAACACGGACTTAAAACGAAATGTGCCCCCAAAACAAGACTTATTAAACGCCACCTTTCCTTGTTGATCTTGTTTACCGTATTTTAACATTCAAACAAACACGTATTGAGACATTTATTGAGAATTTATCCTAAGTAAAGGAATTTCAGGTCAAATTCCGATTTAGCTCGAGGAGAGTTGAATTACTTTTAGACCTAAAATAATAATAATAATTTTTAAGTGATAAAACAGAAGTTAAAAATTTACACTTTGAATGACTTTGTTCGCTTTGAGTTTATGTGCACACATGGAAAGTAAATACATGTATTCTTTTCATCGACGCTCAATTTGTTTTTATATGACAGCCTCATGAAAAAAGCTATTGTTTTCTTCTTTAACGTACCTTTTTTTTTATTTTACTCAATAACAATGTAATCATAATTCAATGTAATGACCAAAATTGCCTATGTTACAGCGATGTTCATTGAACTGTTTTGTGTTCGATACGCTATTCGATGAAAACATATACATGTATAAATATTCAAGAACGTTTTACGATAAGTCTATTGAAATTCAACCCTAATAATTTGGATAATCTCCAATGGATTGGCATTTATTTAGTTGTCTTTAACAATATTAAAGGTTCTGGTGGCAGGAGGTGCTTTCAGCGTCATTTATCTGTTATTGAAGTATGTTTTAAACCAGTCTTCTAAAAAAAGTAAGTGCAATTGTTCTGGTTCCTTTTTTATAACAACCATTTTATGCTTAATGTTTTTTCATCTTTAAACCCTTGTATCAGCTTACCTTTCTTGAATCAGCTTACCTCCCTTGTATCAGCTTATCTTCCTTGTATTAGCTTACCTTTCTTGTATCAGCTTATCTTCCTTGTATTAGATTACCTCTCTTGTATCAGCTTACTTCCCTTGTACCTGCTTACCTTCATTGTATCAGCTTAATTCCATTGTACCGGCTTACCTCTCTTGTATGGGCTTATCTACCTTTTATCAGCTTACTTCTTTTGTATCTGCTTACGTCCCTTGTATCGGCATACTTCCCTTAAACCGGCTTACTTCCCTTGTATCTGATTATCCCCCTTATATCATCTAACCTTCCTAGCATCAGCTTACCTCCCATGTATCTGTTTACCTCCCTTGTACAGGCTTACCTCCCATGTATATTCTTACCTCCCTTGTATCAGCTTATCTTCCTTGTATTAGTTTACCTCTCTTGTATCAGCTTACTTCCCTTCTACCGGCTTATCTCCCTTGTATTTGCTTACCTCCCTTGTATCAGCTTACATGCCTTGTATCAGATTACCTCCCTTGTACCGGCTTACCTCTCTTGTATGGGCGTATCTACCTGTTATCAGCATACCTCCCTTGTATAAGCTTACCTCCTTTGTATCAGTTAACCTCCCTTGTATCAGTTTATATCCCTTTGTATCAGATTACCTCCCTTGTATAAGCTTACCTCCCTTGTATTAGTTAACCTCCCTTGTATCAGTTTTTCACCCTTTGTATCAGATTACCTCCCTTGTATAAGCTTACCTCCCTTGTATCAGTTAACCTCCCTTGTATCAGTTTATCTCCCCTTGTATCAGATTACCTCCCTTGTATCAGCTTTTCTCCCTTATATCAGAGCTCCGCCAAGTGCTAGATAACAATTACAGCAGTTAAAAGGAAGTCGTTTAAATTAATTTCTTATCCTTTCAATTAGATATGAAAAATACATTTTATACCATTGTTAGGACGATACAAGCAATCTTAATATTTTATCAATTAAGAAGTCTATAACATTGTATATTGTCTCATCTGTAGACTTAAGATTTTTATTTTACATTTAGCATTTAACCCAGATTTCGGACATTCTGATCCGTCCAGTGGAGAAAGAAGGAGAGAGACACCAAGATACAGACCCCCACCACAAAGTACGGCAGAGGCGGAGGATCGTGCTCGTGGGCATGCGCAAGATATGTTTGATGAGCAGTTTAGAGCCAATTTACAAAACATGTTCGCTGAAATGAGAAGAATTGATGAGAGAAAACTTTATATAAAAAACAGGAGAACAAAGCATTTTAAACAATTTGACAATAAAGTGCAAGAAATAGAAAATAATGAGCACGTGATTTTCGCGTACAGTGACATTCCATGGCCTAGTGAAAACGATACAGCAGACGACAAAAGTGTTCTGTTTGATAATTTGGAAAAATCAGCAGAAGAAAAAAAGAAATATGTTCGTGAACAGCAGATTCGTTGGCATCCGGATAAATTTTCTCAAACATTTGGTAATCATATACGGGAAAGCGACAGAGAATTGATCATTAATAGAGTGACTATACTGTCGCAGGAAATTAATGAAATATTTAAAAAGATACAAGATTAGTATAGATACAACTTTATAATTAAATACCCGTGTTTTCGATTATCTCAAATTAAAAAAAAGAGACAAAGGTCATAGAACACAAAATCATCATGCATTGCGCATGCGCATGCAGAATGTTATTGATGGATCGGATTTTATAGCGTTAATGCACAGAGTTTCCTTAATTTGGCGTTGTTACTTTACTTTAATAGTGAAATGCTTATTTTATACTTAGAAATCATTTGAAACATCGTGTGTAACATGTAACTAGTTTCGATTGACATGTAATCTTTAGTTTGTCTATTTACTACCTTCCTCGCCTTACTGTGTAGTTCTGTTCTGTTCTGTTCCTTATTATGCACAGTGTGTAACATGTTTTAAATTATTCTTTTATACGTGTGAGATTATTCTTTTCATATGTTTTTACACGTGTTAGTTTTTTTCTTTTGAAATGTTTTACACGCGTTAGGATTCTTTTTATATGTTTTTACACGTGTTAATTTATTTTCATATGCTTCACACGTGTTAAGTTATTCTTTTTTATTCATTTATTACTTGGTCGATTATTCTTATGCACCACGGGTCTGGTTATTCTTTTTTATATGTTACACGTGTCTTTGAGTTTTCTTATTTCTAAGTTTATATTGTTCTGATAATTTCGTGTTTCCTTCTTCCTTTTGATAAGTTTGACATTTCTTTCTTCTAAAACAATTCTTGTTAGAATAATTATCAATTAAAATAATTATCAATTTTTATCTTGCTTTAATTATCAATGTCTTGTTATTCATTTGTTTGTGTGTTGTATCAATGCATGTTTTAGCCTTATTAAAATAAAGTTTGTTTTAACCTTTAAGTTATTGAAATAAAGTCTGTTTAAGCCTTATTGAAATAAAGTTTGATTTTCAACTTTGTGTGTTTAATATTTAGCTGTTTTTTTGTTTGTTTTTTATTTTTGTTTTTGTCTGTTGGGTTTTTTTCTGGTTTTTTTTATACATAAAGACAGAGAGTAATTGTTCACTTATGATACACAAAGTTTGAGAGCAATTACATAAAATCAGAGAGTTTTTGTGCACTTATGAAACACTTTAAGATTGAGAGAAAATTTGTTCACTTATGATACATATAATCAGAAAGTATTTGTGCATTTATGATACACCAAGTTTGAGAGTAATTTGTTTACTTGTGATACATTTAATCGGCGAGTAATTATGCACTAAATAAACATCAAGTTTGAGAGTAACTTTTGTACTTATGATTCATTTAATCACGGAGTAATTGTGCACCTATGATATTTAAATCGGAGAGTAATTGCTCACTTATGATACACCAAGTTTGAGAGCAATTTGAGCCGCGTCACGACAAAACCAAAATAGTGCGTTTGCGACTATCATGGATCCAGACCAGCCTGCGCAGTCTGATCAGGGTCCATGCTGTTCGCTTACCAACTCTATTACAAGAAGAGAAACTGATAGCGAACATCATGGATCCTGATCAGAATGTGCGGATGCGCAGGCTGGTCTGGATCCATGCTGGTCGCAAACACACTATGTTGGTTTTGTCGTGACGCGGCTCATTTGTGTTCTTATGGTACATAAAATCAGAGAGTATCTGTTTACTTATGAAACATCTAGATTGAGAGTAAATGTAATTTGTATACCATGATACGTTTAATCCGGGAGTATTGTGCAAAGTATTTGTGCATTTATGATACACCAAGTTTGAGAGTAACTTTAATTTGTACTTCTGAATAATTTATTCAGAGAGCAGTTGTGCACTTAAGAAACATCAAGTTGGAGAGTAACTTTTGTACTTATGATTCATTTTATGAGGGGGTTAGAGTCGATGACTTCTAATCCAGTTATCTCCCTAGCGTGGGTTGAATCCCCGAGAGATGCTTTGGTAGTTTAGCGCGGAGGAAGGTAGTCTAGTACTGGTGTAACTCTCCAGGAACGATGGTGTTAGGAAACTACCCGCCTATATGACTGAAGTACTGTTGGAAAAGGGCGTAAAATGAAACAAACAAACACGCATCAGGGAGTAATTGTGCAGCTATGATACTTAAAATCAGAGAGTAATTGCGCACTTACGATACATGTAAACTGAGAGAAATCATGTTATAATAATTGTAAACGTATGAAATAACAAGATTGCGAGAAGTTATGATACAAAGTCAGATCTGGAAAAATGTACATTAAATATTCAAACTTCAAGGGTAATTGCGTGGATAATGTAAATGATGATATCGGATTTGTGCATTATTTATGTATTGCTGATACTCAAGTTGTGTATTAAATTTTGTGAAGTACACACATGTTTGAATGTGTATTTGGAATACCTCTAAAATTTTCTTAAATATTAATAATTATATATCATTAAGAGGCTGTATTTGTTATTGAAGTGTTTTCATGTAATGTTTGAGATGAACAAATTACCCTTGTTTGGCATTTTCCTATATGTTCGTTTGATTGTTTAGATATAATATCAAACTTTTAAAATGTCGTTCAAAGGCAATTATTTCCATAAAGTGGGTCCATTTTACTGCTTAAAATGAGTTCTCGGAAACAAAAGTCCAAAAACATAATTTATAAAAACAGAAAATACAAAGTGATAATTGTTGTTATGTAAGAAAAAATATTGTCATCAATTTTCTTGTTAATTTTCTACCCAAATATCCAAGTAATGCCAATGTCCGATGGCGCTTATTGAAATAGCATACTATCTTCAGTATTACTGACGTGACTTTATTTTTTATTAAAACACTGTTAAAACAATATAATAATATGGAATGTGTTTTTGTAAGTCTAAAAACTGCCAGTGAATGGAGGATTAAAAGTATGATTCCTGGATCAGCCATAATTCACAAAAATACAGGAGAAGTTAGCTAACGAATTCTTAACAAAAATGTAGAGGATATGTGTTTAGTTCAGAGTAAGATCGGAAAATATTTCACCGAGTGAGCATCAAAAGCAGCCACGAGTAAAATATGAACTTTTGGTGTTCACGAAGTGAAACATATTCGATCTTACACTAAACTAAACAAATTTTCTTTTTATAGTTTGTAAATAAACGTTGAAAAAGCATTTAAACCTGATACTATATGAAAATCGCGCCAAGTAAAGTACAACGTGGCGTCATTAACGACGTCACGTCATTTTTGTTTCCAGTCACGCTGGTTTTTCACTGAAACAACGTAATGGGCTTAAATTTAAAACAGTGAAAATTATCAAATTGTTAATTTCACTGTTTCAAACATTGAAATATTAGTTTTATATTTCACTGATCTATTTCTATAAAACACTGAAAAGCATGTAATAAATCTTGTTGCTCTTATCCTACACAATGGTGCAAATCTGGGGATGTCCCTAGCAAGATATCTTACATAATATGATAAACCAAAATGTAGGCACATTAACGTCTTTGTACGTTTATATTTATAAATTTTATAAATAATAGTGCAATTGTTTGTAATTATAAATAATAATAAATAACATATTTATATATAGATAACTTAAGTAAATATCCAGTTTTATGTCGGTTTCCCAGACATTGATTCTGTTATTTTATTTAGTTCGCGCACGTCTTCCATCAAGTTCGACAACTCTTTTTGTCTTAGTTCTTTTTGTTTAAACGCTTTAACCAGTCCTGACTGGTTGTCCGGGGGTGGTTCCGGACTGTTTGAATTGTTATAAACAATGGCCGGCATATCCACACGGATACGTTTCTTTTCCTGCGAATTCGGAGGCGTTTTGTACTTTTCAGTTTTTTCCGAACTTTTTCCTAAAGGCCAACCCTTTTCGGTACTTTTGGAGCTTTCGCGACTTATACCACTGTTTGTTTTAGACGTTTTACCGTTTGGATTATTAACTGCGTAAGTCTTTTCAATTGAAAACCCGAATTCGTCGACTGATGGGTCCAGTTTATTTCCGGCTATGTACATTTTGCACGAGCTATTGCACGTGCACGGCGGAATAGGAAAGTCCGAAGCAATTCTAAATCCTATTTGTTTTCCATTTAATCCATTTGACCTTGAACTACGCAGGGTGGATCCGCCACTATCACTTTCAATGAATGATTGATTAAGTGAACCACTTGTTCCTATTTTTGGAAGGTGCACGTGCAAATCGTTCTCTCCCACTGGCGAAGTACTCGGCGCAGGAACATAATAAATACAATAATAGTCCTTCAGTTTCTCTAAATTCATACGATCCTCGTCTGTTAGTGTGTCAATTCTAAAACTTTGGGGCATCAGTTTCACCCTCTCGGCTTCACGTGCCTCGTGCCGAAGCTTCATTAGTTTTTGCTTCTGCTTTTGCATCTGCGCAATACGTTCTTCCGCGGTGTTTGAATTATTCGTATCACCGTTCACATTCCGCCGGTAGGAACTACTTTCAAGCACTATATCGCGATGATTATTTCTACCCTGTCGCGGAATGCTGGGAATCGGATGTGACGTCAGTCTCTGCAAATTGGCTCTAACGTTCTCGTCAACAGATCGTTCCGTAAGTTTTTCATTGCGTTCATAACGTTCACTATGGTGACCGTTGTGATATTTCTCGTGACGGTCTCGTTTGTCACGCCGGTCTGTGACTGGTGCTTCTATCAATGACTTCCCCTCAAGGGGCATTATCATTGGAGGATTCTTCTTCGGTCGCATTCGTTGAAACTTTTCAAACGTCGTAATGAGAGAGTTTCTTTTGAGTGGCACGTCATTCTGTGCGGAATGACGTTGACGCGCTCTTTTCTCCCTCTGAGGCTGACTGTATACATACTCCCGACCTGCCATTGTAACATAAACTCATTAAAAATGAATCCAAGAAAACACTCATATCGGTAACATTGTTTTGAATACATAAATAACGAAAAAGTAAAACATTTTTTTTTATTTTATATACAATCTGTTAAATTGTCCGATACAAAACATGATTCTGCATTGATTTTCTTTTGGTATATTTAATATCTACGGACTTAAAATTGAATTTAAAATATAAAATATCGAATATTTCTTAAGTTTCAGACAACTTGCTATATTTGTACAGTTATCAGGTTGACAGAAGGTTCAAACAACAAGCAAATCTATATTTACCATACGATCGCATTCTAAGACGGTCAAGAGCGTTTGCCAGATTATTTTGCTCCTGTTGAATCAACTCCTCGCGAAGCTTGGACAAGCGCTTCAGGTACTCCGCGTGGTGCTGGAACGACTCTTTATCGCTATCACTCCAAGGTAATCCACGTGCACTGCGCGCGCCAACTCCCGCCCTTTCCATTAACCTGAAAATACATAATTTCCATACATGTAACTTAAAACGGAAATGACTTAATGTTACTGAAAATATTTCTTGCTCTATGACGATTGCAGCGGAAGCCGACTTCGATCTGAAAGTAACGGAAAATGATTTAAATAAAAAGCGGGAAAAGTAAAAACATTCTTCATTTTATATAAAATCAACTTTAAAAAACTAATTTAAGAATATAGGTCATTTACGGATATGCATGTATATTATACATGAACATCGAATTACGACAGGAATACACGTTTAAAACTGGGAGTGATACTAAAGTAGCAAGGGAGGTTACTGAAGCAAGCTTATTGTGACTTGAGAATATAGTGTATACTTTATAATAGAAACAGGTGCTTGTTGCGCAAAAAAAATCTCATCTTCTATTGACATGATTGACTATTTATGAGCGCTAAAACGAAGTTCTATTATTATTCTATTGATATTCCGTTACTTCTTGAGCGGGAGAAAAAGTCAAGATACAACGTATCTGATAGAAATATTTCCTTTTTCATATTCATGATCTTTTCTGTCAAAAAATGTTTGTAAAACAGGCCTCTTACAGTTATTGATTATTTCTTCTTTAAAAAAGCCCTGTGCCAAAAGTCAAGAGTGATAGAAAGAAACTGGTTGTATCTATATAGTTACATTACTTATCAAGTTTTTTCTTCTTTTTTTTTAACAACAATTATCTTTATCAGTTTATTGATATCAGTTTCATAATTTACAGACTGAAGATATTATTAATTACCACATGACCTTTACAACAAATAAGTATGCAACCATATCTTACAAATTTAATCTCCAAGGGGATTAAGCAACGTTTCCTGGAATAGAAAGTTTAATTTGTAATCAATCGCTATGTATTATTTCCATATTGAAATACAAAACGTTTCCAGATCAACAATTCCGTATATCTGTTACCGCTAGACAGACTTTATAGATTTAGAAACAATAAAAACGGTTTATCTACGGAAGTCCATAATGGCCATGTTTATACAATTTCCATTTGCAGACAAATAAAGTATCGATGTTGTTGTAACTGATACACTCAACAAAATTTCCCCCGTTAACCAATCAGAAATCAATTAACGAGGGAAATGTGAACGGGTACAAACTATTGTATGATTAGCTGAAACCATGAACATTTGAGCCGCGTCATGACAAAACCAACAAAGTGCGTTTGCGACCAGCATGGATCCAGACCTGCCTGCGCATCCGCGAAGTCTGATCAGGATCCATGCTGTTCGCTATCAGTTTCTCTACTTGTAATAGAGTTGGTAAGCGAACAGCATGGATCCTGATCAGACTGCGCGGATGCGCAGGCTGGTCTGGATCCATGCTGGTCGCACACGCATTATGTTGGTTTTGTCGTGACGCGGCTCATTTATTTCTCATAGGAACGCTCGTGTGGAATAGCAATGCACACTACTATATAAATCATAGACTTTTATTACAGATAAATATAAAGCTTCATTTATCAATACAATACAATACAATACAAATACAAGTTCAACACAATACAAATACATCACAAATAAAATACAAATACAATACAAATACAACACAATACAATGCAAAACAATTCAGTGCAGTGCAATTTAGAGCAATACAGTTATTATAATACATTGGCATGTAACATTATGCAAATTTTTAATCAAATTCGTATAATTAAATTCATGTTTCAAATTCGTGTTATCAGATTCGTGTTATCAAATTCGTGTTATCAAATTCATATTATCATAATCGTGTTATCAAATTCATGTTATCAAATTCGTGTTATCCAATTCATATTTTACAATTTATGTTATCAATTTCATGTTATCAAATTCGTGATATCAAATTCGTGTTATCACATTCATGTTATCAAATTCGTGTTAACAAATTCGTGTTATCAAATCCGTGTAATCTAATTCTTGTTAACACGTTTAAGTTATCAAATAGGTGTTATCCAATTTATGATATACAATTCATGCTTTCCATTTAATGTTATCAAATTCATGCTATTAAATTCATGATACCAAATTCGTATTATCAGATTAGTGTTATCAAATTCATGTTACAAAATTGATGATTTCAAATTCATGGTGTTAAATTCATGTTATCAGATTCATGATATCAAATTTGTGTTTCCGAATTCAAGAAATCAAAATTAGTGCTTTCATATCCATAATAATTATCATATTCCTAATATCAAATTCGTGTTATCAAATTCACGATATCAAATCTGTATTACCATATTCACGATATCAAATTCATGTTATCAAGTTCGTGTTATCAAATTCGTGATTTTCAAATTCATGTATGAAAAATGATGTCTGTTTAAATGACCATATAATGAAGAGGGTATGGGGTTTGTGACAAAACACAAAAAGTTTGGCATGTTTACTTTTGCCTATGTGTTTGTTTATTTGTTCTTTTCTTACGTGTTTTCGATTAACCGAAAAAAAGCAACAAAAACACAATCAAGTAGATTCGGTAAGCAATACTTTAACAACGCAAAATAACTAAGTTTATTTATTCATTTTAGCTGTCTGGAAACACATTTTTACTTTAAAACCGTTATATGAGGACTAATTTGTACTCTTAGGTTTCGGTAGATTTTCAAAATGTTATCATAAATGAATGCCAATTATTTTCAAAAAGTTGAGGAAGAAAAAAATGAAATCAATAGATACACTTTATGCACGAAATTTCATGAACCATCTTAACGCCCAATAAAAGCACATTTGCATTATGCAGATACATTTGTATATCTTTTACATATTTCTCTATATGAGCCGCGTCACGACAAAACCAACATAATGGGTTTGCTGGTCTGGTCTGGATCAATGCTGGTCGCAAACCCATTATGTTGGTTTTGTCGTGACGCGGCTCATTATAATTAAACATCGTTGGTTGGGCATCACGCATGTATTCATTTTCTGAAAGGTACTTCTTGTTGATGCCGTGATGCCGGCAGTATATCGTTATATAAATTAAGCAATTTTTACGTTTATCTAATGAAGTGAATGATTCTTGGTTATATTCATACGTCAAATATAATGAAGACATCGTGCTATTTTAGAAGGCTGTTTTCTTTCTTTCTTTCTTTTTTTTAATTATAATCGCCTGTCTGCATTATCCATCGATGCGTGTTGAAGAGAAAACTCTCCGTAATTTCTAAATGAGGAAATCATTGAATGTATTACTTTATAATTCAATGTTTTTGTATACAATATGAACAAGTGATTAATATATTTAAAGGCATTCCATTGAGGTCCAAGAGACTCAAACAATAAAATCTGATTTTTTTTCACAAAGAACAGTTGGGGCTCTTAAAACAGAAAGATTATGTAGAATATAATTCAGAAATGTTCTCAGAAGTAAAATGAAATCTATTTTTGTGCTACTATTTGTCCGATTTGCGTTAAAGGCGTTGCGATGTTTTTCAATTTTGGGTCATTTTTTCACAAATAATCTAGTTCATATATCTTTCAGTAACCGTTATTGGTCAATCACCATTATATATTATAATATCATAGTCCCTCTGTTGCATAATACAATACTATTTTAACTAAACTTGACAGCAAACAAAATAGCATAATGTCACTTTTAAGCAGTGTAGAATGTTATCATATACTGTCCATAATTTCGGACTAAAAGAGGTCCGAACAATACGAAACGAGGTGATAGCATATAGCCAACCCATCTGCACTACTGTACTTTGATATTATGGAACGCGCTAATATTTACAGTTTAGGGAATGAAAATATTTGTTTAATTGATTCTTTTTTCTCGTTTGAAATACCAATGTAACGTTTATATTAGTGGCAAAGGCTCGGTCGGGGGTCGTTTAATGTGTCGGTATGTTAACATATCGTATTTACTGTTTGTTTTAAAATTAACGTCGCGGGAAAACGGAAGTATATATATATCGCCTATACGAAAACATAGTAAACGTGTTTATTTTCATATAATGTTAAAGGAACTACACCGAGGCCTTAAAACATAAGATTAGGAAAATATGAAATTCTTACATAGATCAACTGTGACACTTAAAATAAAAGATTATAAAACTATATGTTCAGATGTTTTTAGTGTGAGTGTTATTCCCATTCTTCGTGATTCTTGAAAAACAAGTGGAGCGGGCAAATGACCTAATTATTTTCACACAAGTTAGTTATTTAGTCATTGGTACATAAACATAAAAAATATATTGCCAGTCGGGTCACGTCCCTTTAACTTGCTCTTAAAATATATTAATTTACTATTGAAATATCATAACTAACTCATCGTCAATGAACTTTTACCTGTATAATTAACAAGTAAATTCTATGTACTAAAAAAACGATATTTGATTTTTTTGATATGCAAAACATTACGATTTTCATAATGCATAAGAACATTTTTAACAACAACTTGCACCCACTACGTCTTAAATACACTTGATGAATACACATAGCATCCAAATCAGGTTTGTTTTAAAGGAAATGGAATTTATGGGTATTTAGAATAACATTAAAACACAGTGAAGCTCTATAAATCAGAGTAAATGCATGATAATTGAAAAAAAATCAACAATATATATTTGTATTTACCTGAGCAATCAATTAAATTTGTATCGTCTATCTTCAAATATAAATATTAAATTAAAATACCTGTTTAATTTTCCATCTATTACAGTGTTGAAATGATTAACCATACAGTGGTAAATTAAAAAACGCCTACCATACTTTGGTAGGAACAAGAATCAACTTTTATCTGTCTAACATTCCATCCTGCATGATTCCTTTTTTCATTTATGTTAACAAATATTGTCACATTTTTTCTATGCAATCTAATTGATAAGGCAAAGCAATGTGTTGCGTGCGGCGCATTAGAAAAGCTGTTTGGTTTTAAGAGACTTACATTATGTAGATAATTGTGCAAAAACAGCATAGTTTGAAGATTATTTATTAATCACACCTATCTAATATTCTGTATTGGCTTCGCGAAACGGAAAACCGCTCT